TTTAACAAAAAATGTAATTTTTATGTAAAAATCACTGTTTAACATGAAATATTTTAGTACTTAGGACTGCCATAACTTTTTGAAAAATGAACAGAATAAAATATTTTTTTATATTGTAACCTTAGATATTTTTCTTTCATTCGATATAAATTTTTTGAAAAACAGACACTAAACCTGCCACAGGGGCATTTTAATATAATTTTTGAAAATGTTCTGGAAATATTGACACTTTTTTTAATCTTATGTTCACATTTTGTCATGTACAATATTATAAATAAATTGTACTAATATGACTAATATAACTAATAATAACACAATATAATAAAGCTAATAGTATTAGTTGTAAAAACACTTACTAACAATTGTTTAAGGCTCTTTTATTTAAAAAAAAAATCAGTTTAGGTATGGATCATGTGTAAATGAACAAATGTGAAGTATATATATATCATTGTACTTTTCCTTTTTTTAATTTACGATTGTATAACACTCATTATATATTATTTTTGTTGTAAAAAATTTTGGGGGGGGGCAATCGTTTCCCTTTCATCGTAAAATGCTTTCATTTATTAAAACATTTAAATCTTAAAATACGTTTCTTAGTTATAGGTAATAATTAATAAAAATAATACTTAAGTATTTATAATTTTTTAATTCTATAATTTATTTATTTATTTAGCTAACGCCAATAGGCAATTTAAAGAGATACAATAAAACAATAAAAACTAAAAATTTATTATGGTAGTATATGACAACTTCAGCAATATTATTTGCAATTGAATTTAAAATTATAGAGATCTACGTGTTTATACAATAAAATAACACTAAATTTAAAAAACTAAAAATAAACAGTACATGTATGCATAATTTAAAATATATATGAAACTATGATTTATTAAAAAGATTAAGCATTGCGTAAATGTAGTGTGACAGTGGAATTCAACAACTACTCAAAATTTACTGATGCAGTAGTATTCTTCAAAAGTAATTTATTTAATTAAGCAGTGGTCAAATAAATACCTAATATTTTTGAACGCTGCACCGGGTCAATAACCTCTGCGGGGAGCCAAAATTTGATGCGGTATAAAGGTTTTTCAATAATAAATTAAATTTAATACCACGATTAAAAAAAAACCCAGCACAGTGGGGTTGGGCATAGTTGCGTCCAGTATAGATGATATCTGACAGTAATTAAAATCACTATCATAAAAAGCGCTTCGATGCAAATCTGTAGATAATGTTTAATTCTAAGAAAGTGGTGGATAATTACAAAAGCAACAACAACTATTTCCTTAATTATATCCAGATTACTAATACTTAGATTCAAAAATATTAATGGATACAGGCGGATGCGAACCTCGTACCATTAGCGTGAAAGACACACGTGTTTTCGATTAGACAATTGTTCGTTGCTTTTGTCGCATAATAAAATTAGCTAATTCAAATTTAAAAAATTACTTTTTCAAATTTAAAAAAGTAAACAAATTTTAATAAGTTTAATTTCTTATGTCTAATGAACTTAATTCTATGTCAATTAAGTTTTATAATATTCATGAAAGTCAGTGTATTCCCCTTGTAAGATATTTTAAAATAAAAAATAATACAAAACCCAGAATTTTAACACAAAAATAGCATATTTTTTAATACGGTAGCCAATTCACCATGAAGAAAATGTATAATTTGAATTTTTTTTTTTTCAATGTAAAGTATATAATATAAGCTTTAATTTAAGATTAAATAAAACTGTGAATATATCTGGAACATTTTCAAAAGTTAAGTTGAAAAAGTTAGTTTTTGTAAAAAAGTTACTATTTTAAATACCTATTGTGAGTAGAATAAGTGTTAGATTTTCAAAAAACTGTTACTTAGGGTACGAGGTTCGAATCCACTTGTGGCAATTAATATTTTGCATTTTTTTTGAGATAGAAAAAAATATTCAAATAATTTGATTTTTTTCTCATTTAAATTCAATAACTTCAATAAATATCAAGGATCCCATCAATATAGTCTCCCCTAGTGAGAAGATATTTCTTATTCATGTTAATAATAATTATTATTATTATAAGTATTATTTAACTAAGTGCTATTTTTTGTGGCTACGATTTGTTTTGCTAACCCTCACTTGACCTACTATTTTCAAATAGTATACGTCAATTCAGATACGTCAAATGATTACAATTTGTATTTAGTTGAAAATATCCTTAAAAATCGAAAAAATATTCCTTATTTAAATAAAAAGTAGCTTAACCAGCTTTTTCCATACAAACAATTAAAATCATTAATTTCTAAAATTTTTAAAGTATTTAATGTCTAGTATCTAAGAATTAGACGTGATATGATAAAAGTATTCAACTTCAAATGTAAATAATTTTACTTTGTAATTTATTCATTTTTTAACTCTATTTGTGTGTGCTACTACCAGTCTATAATATTCCAAATTTTTTTGTAAAATGTTGCTATATAAATCATAAATTTAAAAAAATATATATTTTGTAGTTTCACCTGAATTTAACGATGGATTTTTATAAATTATAATCAAATTTTAGAATACGCTCAATTAAGTAAATCTTTTTAACAACTTTTTTTTATTAGTTCTTTTAGTTAAAGTAAATGATTAAAATTAATTAAGTTCTGAATATTTCCATTGTAGAATCTTTATAAAAACCAAAAGTTAATCAGAAATTATTACTATGATTTTTATTTAAGTGATCTATTACGATGAAAATGTAAAAAAAAATCTAACTTTTCTGATAAATTTACTGTTAATAGTAATTATAAAATTTCCTGATTGCATATTAATCTTAAGAATTTCATTTTTTTCTATTTAATAATATTAATTTCAAACTTGCAGTTGGGCTAAAAGTTATGGTAATAAATTCTTTTTTTTTTTATAATAAACTTTCATCTTAAAGGACGAAATAAAGAAGGTTAAAAATTATTACTTTTAAAATATGAAAAATCAAAATCAATAATAATTTGAAAACAATTCAATATAACAATTATATAATTTGTAATTTTATATTATGTTTTTTAATTTAAGAATTACTAATCTAGATATAATTAAGGAATTAGTTGATGTTGCTTTTGTAATTATCCACCAATTTCTTAGAATTAAAAATTATCTACAGATTTGTATCAAAACGTTTTTTATGATAGTGTTTTTCATCACTGTCAGAATAAATCTATACTAGATCCATCTATGCCACGTCCCCAGTATGCCGTGATCCCACTTTTTCATTAATTAAAGGTTGGTCAATTTTAGTTCACCTTATCTTCCAGTAGATGGTCTCGTAAGAGGAAAAAACAAATTTGAATGGCTACCTCTCTATCCCTGGCATCGAATTATAGTGTGCATGGGCACTATAGTTTAAAAAACTGCCATTTTGAATGAACTTTACGCCTCTTACCCCCGCCATCATACGACAACGCCTTCCCCTTACACTCACTTACCCATCACATACACGATACCAATCCCACTCCACCCTCTTTCCCGTCCATACCGGTCATATAGTGATGGGGTCAGGCAGGGGCCTAAAATGCTCATTTTTACCTTACTTATACTATTAATTTATTATAAAACAAATAATAGAAGTGAACGCAATCTATTTCGAAAATTTAGGAATATTTTATATACTTTATAAAATTTCAATATTTCGACAATATTTTATTTATGAATACTTGACATAAAAATGTACTAGTATCGCCATAAAGTATAATGGAATTAAAAATTGAACACTATCTACAGATTTGCATCAGGCGTTTATAGTAATAATATTTATCACTGTCAGATTTAATTATATATATCCTATGATTCTATTAGTTATATATATAACTATGGCACGTCTTCTCTGTCCAAGGTATTTGTTAAATGAATAATAAAATATCGTAATTTATAATATTACTTTTACATAGAAATAATTATTGAAAAAGATACTGCATAATAGTCATTGTATTAAAAATGTAAAATTTGTCAGAACATGCGGTACTCTCCGTTTAATAGGTTTTATAAATATATTTGTATATTTTAGTAAAGATTTTTAATTTTATTTATTTAATTTATGCCATTTGTCTTAAGTACAGTAAATAATGGATACAAAACAAATAGTTACCACAATTCATAATATAATAAATTAAAAATATCATAAAACATAATATTAGAGCTGAGAAATTGTCTGACTTCGAAAAATAAAATTATTTAATTTTTAATACTTTATATATTATATATTTTGTGCAGTAGTATAGGAGGAGTATGGGTTCTACGGAAGAATATAAGAAAAGTTGGGTATATAGCGTTTAAGGAATAAAACATAACCTATCTACGATAGATTCTAAAAGTTGCAACTATTTTTAAAATAGACCTTAACTAAAGTTAATATAATATTTTTAGACATAAAATATTATTCAATTCCTTATTGTTATGTATAATAAACCCTAACGTTCTTGGTGCTATAGTTTTATTTTTCAACATGAGTCAGAAATTTTAATTTGAATGTAAAATTACACCAAAGTCACAAATGTTATTTTAATTACAGTGACACTTTATTATAATTATGTTAAACGTGTTCAAATTATCACAGAGAAAAAAATCTACATCTTTGTACAATTTTACAAAACCAACATTTTTTTTTAAATAAAATAAATTATCGAGTCATCGGCGAATTAAAAATATTCATAGAATTTAAAACATATATGTTATAAAAATATTCATAATGAATATTAGAAAAATATTAGGGTAGAGGTAATCGCTTTGTGCTGATCTAGATAAAACCTCAATATAGCTACATAAATACCCGAAACTTTGGCACGAATAACATTAATAAATCATTTATATTATTTTAAAATTTAGTTGTAATTTTAAAACAATATATTTCGAATATTAGTCTATTATTATACATTTCATAAGTAATGTAAATAATGAACAGTGCTAATTGTTTTAAAAATTATTTTAAGTACAATGAAAAAGTATATAAACTTAAATTAAAACCAATGCAATTTAATTTTTTCTATTTTTCAAGACTACTAAACGATGTTACAGTTAAAGAATTACTCTCTTGTTGCATTATGTTGTATTATATTGAATGCTGTCTTTTCTTGTTATTGTATTAGTTATTTTAAACCACCTTCGGTAAGAATATGTATAAAGATTATGTTATTTATTTATATCATTATTGTATTTGTTTTGTTACACAGCCATCTAACTAAAAATTAATTGTATTAAAATTGCTTATACTCGATTGTAAAATATTTATAAATAAACAAATATTATTACAAAAATCGAATAAAATTCATCTAATGGTTGACAAGGCAACTATTGACAAAAATCTTCAGTTATATTTTAGGCTGTAGCAAATTTCCGATTTTTTTTTTCAAGAGGCCTTAAAGCATACTATTTATTTAGAATACATGTTATAGTCTTACCCTGAATATTATACTGTGTGATTTATTAGGAATACTATCCACATTTTAATAAAAGTAACTTTTAAAAAAATAATGGAAAATTGTTATTTTTTTACTATTAACTGACAAATGGTCTAAATAAAATGTTGACTGATCTATAAAAAATTTTAATGGTTTAATTTTTGAAATATTAACTTTTAAGTATTGAGAAATGTATAGAAGTGTGGTAGTTTTTATTTAATTTCAAAAGTTACCCCTAAAATTTTCTCTTAGAATAACTTTTTCTAACAATAAAATTGTTATCAGTTTATCAGTGTTCACGGCTGGTGATGGTTGTGTTTGTTTCCTGTAATTTCCTTATCTATAGAGTGTTCAGTAAATAAAGAAACATGTCAATTGTGAAGGCATTGGTTGGTGGTACTGGCCACAACAATTATCTTTATTATATTATGTTATATATTATGCAATGTTACATTACGAAGTTTTTTTATGGCGTTGTTATTAATTTTTTTTTTTTATGTGCTTTATGAAAATACAATTATGTTTTCAAAAGTTTAAAGAACCAACTGGTTTTGTTTTATATGTTCTCCTTTCACCGTATTATTATTATTATTATTATTATTATATCATATTATATGGCCTACAATCTTCAATCTCAGAAGTGGTTTTCGAAAACCATGATGTATTTTGATAAAAATGGAGAGCATGGCGACACGGCTCAGGATGATCAACAAGTCATTACCAGTGATACTTTTGAAGAGCCCTCTACATCTTATATGAACACTATGTTTCAATTAATGATGGAACAAAATCGTTTATTTATGCAACAACTCGCTGTTTTTAATATTACGAGTAACCAAGGTAATCAATTTTATGTTATGCCAGATCTTAACAAAAGTATAAAACCATTTAGGGGCTACGAGTCTAGATCAGAAGCCAAAGATTGGCTAAATACATTTAATGGCATAGCTGATATTAACAAGTGGTCTGATACTTTAAGGATTGAGTCTGTTCAAGCAAATTTGAATGGACCAGCTCAACAGTGGTTTAAGAGTCGCAGTTTTTCTTCATGGAAAATATTTAAAAAAACAATTTACAAGGTTATTTATTGGTGATCAAAATACTACTGAATTTTAGTCTCTAGAGTTCAATTAAAAGGCGAACCTACTGTTGATTATATTTATGAGAAGATACGTTTATGTAGTGAATTAAATTTATCATTTGATCAAGTTAAAATACAATTATTAAAAGGTTTTTATTTACGTGAAATGGTCACATACTTGTCAAAACATCATAAAGACACTGATGAAATGTTTAATGACATACTAACTTATGAAAATCTAAATAAAGTAAGTACTAAGCGGATAGTTTTTGGTAATAGTTTATTTAAGTATTCACAAACCAATTCAACTGTAATACAAAAAAAGGTTGAAGACAAGAAGAAAGATCAAATAACAATTAATGTGAAACGCTGTTTTAATTGTTATAGTACTTCTCACACTATTCGAAACTGTAATAAACCAAAAAGAGCATCAGGTTCCTGTTTTAAGTGTAGCTCAATGGAATGAATTACTTACTAAATTTCTCATTTCTTTTCCTACATTATTGTTTACAGCAAATATTAGAAATTCTTCTATAAAAATATTATCTAATTTATTAATATAATTTACAAATTCAACAGGTGGAGTATTTAAGTTTCCATAAGTGGATATATTTTCATTATTGTAAATATTAAAATATGTAAAAAAGAAAAAGATTCATCTAGCTGTTTTGAGATTTAACATAACCAATAAAATACCACAATTGTGTTTTTCTAGTGAATTTTTAACTAGATAGCCACAATACATAAGTAAGGGCATTTATAGCAGAAAAACATAAATTACGATAATCAACAATACCAACTTTTAAATTTTTAAAATTAAAAAGGTGTTTTCTCAAGATTAAATGTAATAAGATGGAGGAAAAACATCACATAATTTTGTTAACATTTCATCTAAGTTATTCAGACAACTTTATCCCTCAGACTATTTGAAAGAATTTTTTTGAATGTTCTAACAAACGCAATAGAAGTGGGATTGATAACCTTGATTATTACCACATTGATTGCAAAAATGTCCAAATATTTTCCAAGTAATACTGGTTCAGTCTATAAGTACTTAATGAAAATTTTAGATTATTAATGTAGCTTTGTAGGGACAGCATTAGAAACAATTCTAGACTTTTCTGGATTAGAAAACATATTTGATTTGAAATGAACTTTACAAACCATAAAATTCTTATTTAATGTATCAAATAATTTCCCTAATAAATTATTTCTGTTGCAATTTTGTAACAATTCTTTATAACTATTAAATAAATTTAACATTTTTTAAGATACAAATATACTTTTTATGAATTTATAATAAAAAAATTATCCGAGGAAAATCCTTTGGTATTTTAAACACTTTACATTCATCATTTTTGGTAGCAATTTTAGAGTTATTGCAGTTTTTTACAATGCAAACATAAACCTCATTGTTAATTATTATATAAAAGATAACGCAAAATTAATGAAATGATAAAATAAAATTAAAAGTAAAATTCTTATAATATATATTTTCACTCAACCGGTATTATTTCTTATTATGACAAAAAAATGATAACCAATAGCTACAATAAAATGGCAGCTAATTTTTTTTCACATATCAAAGTGTTTATAGCCTGCAAATATAGAATGCTCATTACGTAAGAAAAAGTTATCTCTTATTCTCTTTGTAAGCAACACTTGACTTGTTTCCTTATTTATTGAGGATTTTGTACATTAGGGATGCTCTCAAATATCGAATGTCTTTTTTTTTTGCTGCCGCTTAATTTTTTTTAATTGTCAAAACATGAGTTGTAATAAATATGGAACCGATCCGTTTAGGTTACCCCTTCCCCTGGGCCTATTAAGTTGAGTTAAAGAGGCCAATTTAATAGAAATAAGTGATCTATTTTTCATACCTATTTTTTTTCTTAACTTAGATTTATGTAAGTAAAATTCAAATAAAGGAAATTTCACAAGAAATTCAAAAATAATAACTTTAATGTTATTTCTTAATAAATAGCCCACAAAAATATTACATACAGTAAAAAACATTTAAAAGTATTGAACATACATTTTAACTGATTTTGTTTATTTTTACTTATTTATATTCATTTTATTATTTGGAAAACGCTATTTGTTAAAAAAAAAAATTGTAAAAGTTTAATTTTTTATGCCTAGTACGATAATTATACTAGATTTATTATTTATTACAAACCTAAAAAAAACTATTGTGTTATTACATTTTGTCGTATTAATGTATCAATTTTGCTATACTAAATTGCTTTAATATAGTACCAATTGTATTATTATTAATTACAAGTATATTTGGGTTATTTTCATCCAAAAATTGTGCGGTATAAATGAAGCAGATAATTTGTGGACACGTTTAATCATATTTTACCTGTTTATTGTTACATATGAAATGATACATTTTAGTCACAAAGGTACACTATTTTTGTTCTTAAAGATGTCTTTTAAAGTATTACGAACTAATATTTATCTTATTGGTAATTATTCCCACGATATAACTGGTACTAAATTACTATCTAATTTACAATGTTTTCAACACATGTGTTTTTTAATTTGAGAGTAATATTATTTAAGAATAATATTAAGAGTTCGGCAAAGTGCGTTATTAATTTTACGCGAAGGAATGATTTTTTGGAATAAAGCGCGGATCTTTATTATGTTGGAAAGAAATTGTGTTGAAAAAATGGAACGTTTGTATGAAAACTCGCGACTTTTACAAAAACACGTTGGACGAATTGCAGTTAGCTACAAAGAAAAGGTAGATGATTTTACATTAAAGTTTAATAACTTGATTGACATTGCACATCTGATGCTTTAAGCCTTATAAATATAGACGAAGTTAGACTATTTTTAATAAGTCAAAGAGAAGATGGGCTACCAGTATTTTTGATGGAATTTCTAATGAAATTAACTATTATAATGATAACGAATAAATAGAATTTTAAAACACAAACGTCTTACAGGGTATGTTGAATTAAAATTTAAAAAAATTAAAATTATCTAAAAATTTACATTAAAAATAATATTTTTTATTACTTATGATTTAAATAATTTTTAGATTTGGAAATTTCAATGGCATATACTACATTAAATGAGAACACCGATACCGATGATACTGATAATAATTTTGAATTGCCATCACCAAAAAAACTGAAAAATATTTACTCCTAAACCAGTTTGTATTATGGACAGCCGTGAAATATGCGATAGATTGCTGTACACATACTTATTGTCATTGTTGAAGGGTTAGGGAGAACATTGATGATTTTATTTTTAATAGATCGTAAATTCAACGTTTCCTAGCAATTTTACGAAAAGAAAAGACAGCTTCAATTAAAAATCAATTTAATGATTCAGATATAAATGCTCTAGTATTACACTGATGGTAAGCTTCCTTCAGATTTAAGAGACAGTAATGCTAACTTTTCACTGTTCCAATAATAGAACAAGGGACAGCAAAAAATCAAGCATTAATGCTATATGAAACTTTAGTCCAATGGAACATGAATAAAAAAGTAAAGGCTTTATCTTTCGATACAACTGCTGTAAATAGTGGTCATTTAGGAAGCACTTGTGTTTTGTTCAAAATAAATTAAACTTCAAAAATAAAAATAAACAAAATCAATCATAACCTATTTTTAAGACTTTTACATGTTTTTTACTGAATATACTGTTTTTGTGGGCTATTTATTGAGAAAACAACATTAAAGTTATTATTTCTGAATTTCTTGTAAAATTTCCTTTATTTGAGTTTTACTTTCATAATTCTAATTTAAGCAAAAAAAAACCCAACATAGGGGGGTCGTGGCATAGTTGGATTAAAATCATTATCAAAAAAAAAACGCTTCGATGCAAATNCAAGTATAATGATATCTGACAGTAATTAAAATCATTATCAAAAAAAAAACGCTTCGATGCAAATCTTTAGATAGTGTTTAATTTTAAAAAATTGGTGGATTATTCCAAAAACAACATGATATGCTATTTCCTTATTAATATCCTGATTAAGATAAAGTATTTCAAATGAAAAAGGGATTATTAAACAATATTCTTTCTCATAAAAAACTTGTGTATATTACAATAACTTTAATGTAAGATACATATAAAAGTGTCAGACTTTCTGGAACACTTTCAAAAGTTAAGTTAAAAAAGTTAATTTTTTGTGAAATAGTTGTCATTTTGAATACCCCTCTGTGGGCAGGTGAAGAGTCAAATTTATTTAAAAATTATACCAAACGATAGGAAAAGACTTCATGTATCTACAAAAAAAATTATATTGATTTGGTTATTTTAAAAAATGTTTAAGTTAGTTAAAGAGTTAGATTTATTAAAAAAATATACCAAATGATAGGTAAAGACATCAAACATCTATAAAAAAAAAAATTATATTTATTTGTTAATTTTTGAAAAAATAATGCAGTTTTAAGAAAAAAAAATTAAAAAATTTCAAAAATTAGCAATTTTTAAATTTGTAATTTTTTTGGAGAATTCCCTCATTTACAGGTGACGAGGGAAATTTTTTCAATTTTTGAGGGTAATGTCTTCGACTAGATACGATTTGTGATCTTTTGACGTATCATTGAAAGAAATCGGTTCAGTGAGAGCTGAGAAAAAGTGGTAATAGACACAAAAAAAAACACATCATAGCAAAACCAATACCTCCTCAGTTTTATATCGAAGCTAAAAGGTATGAGACATAAATTAGTTATTTTTATTAAATTTGATTCTTTAACTCAACTTAATAAGTCACGGGTTAACCTAAACGTATCGTTCCTAAATTTTGCACAGCTCATTTTTTTGTCAATTAAAATAAAATTAAGGGGGAGCTTAAAAAAAAAGTCATTCGATTTTTGAGGGTCACCCTAATATATAGAGTGCTTAGTAAACAATAACATTACAAAAAATGAGAATAATAGCTACCCTTTTCTTACTTAATGAACATTCTATATTTGCAGACTATGGATATCTAAACATTAACTACCATTTTATTGTAGGTAATGATTGCCATTTTTTTTGTCATGATAAGAACTAATACCGGTTGAGTGAAAATATATAAGGGATAGTGTAAAAAAAAAAGAAATTCGAATTTTATATACAGTATATGCAACTACCAAGTTGATTGCTAATCGATTTTAATATATTTTATTTTCAAAGAATCGTAAGGCCCAGAAACCTCGATTTTTACCAGTCGGCTGTAATTGGCAGTATAAAAAATGCAAAGAATTAGGATTTCAAATGATGAACATCTGTATTCCAAAAAAACCTGAGAAGTATCGAAATATTCCAAAAACTTTGGTGTATGTACCAGGGGACGGAAATTGTTTCTTTAGTGCTCTTTCTTACTGGATAAGTGGTACAGTCAAGAATGGTCAAGTATTGCGTGAGATGATAGTCAACGTAAATACATTTTTAATTTTTTATATAAGTAAACTATCGTGTTTAATTATCATTATTTTTAAGTATATGAAAGATTCCAATTCATTTAAACTAATGACAAAGGAAGAGGAACGAGAAACCCGTATTTCAAAAATGTACAACACATGTAAGAATAAATAAATTATTTTTTCGAGAGTAGTTCTTTATTGTAAATCACTAATCAATTTGAATTAAATAACAAAATCATCTATGGTGAAATTTGAGTTACTCGATTGATCAATCTAGTATATCAATCACTGAAATTTAATAATTTTTTAACTTTATACTCACTTGGAAAAAACAAGGTAAAAAACGTTATTGTTTTTTATCATACTCAGCTTTTGGGCTCGACTGACTGTCGATTATCGAAAATATACCGGCAAATTATGTGAAAAAAAAGAGGCACTCTAAAGGATTATTTCCCGTGATTCAAGTAAACGTAGATATAAATGTTATTACTAGGCAACTGTAAACTTATTATAATTTAGAAATCGATGGATTTTTATATACTAAGACAACTTTGTTTATGACTAAAAAAACACGATACAGTGTTACTAACGACATGTTTAAAAAGTTTCATTTTTCATTAAAATAATTCTTATGAAGAGATGCAGAGACAAAAGAATAATACCACAATGCATTGTTATTAATCATCCGATGAAAACCACAGGTGCGAGAAGAATTTTAGGAATGGCCAGTCAAAAACTATTACGGAATGATATCATATAAATCAGAAGGAAACTGGCTAACATCGATAATGACCTAACTGAAGAAAAAACAAACTGAACACGGACCTTGAAGAAGACACCCTATCAAGATTAACAAATATGGTCGAAAAACAAGAAACTAAAGTGTACACAAAAAGGAAAATCAAACAAGTAGAAAAATTCAAAAGGCTTGAAAAGAAAATCCAGAATAAAGAAAAGCTAAACTACAACTCCAATAAGAAAACTACAGTTGTCAATTTAACTGACAAGGAATTGATTAATAATGAAATAATCATTCTGGAAAAAGGTTTTAACTTTTCGTTAGTTCCAAAGAAAATCCCAAAGGAGGACATTATAAGCAGTATAGAAAACACGCTATACCAACTTGAAGACCATGAAAAAAAAAATCATCAGGCAAGAAAGTTGCAAAATTCTAAGAGAAGCAGTCTTACCGAAACAAAACTACAACAAAGATGAGTTAACTGCACTCAAAAATTTAAGGAACGACAACAATGTCATAATACTTAGAGCAGATGAAGAGAACGCCATAGTAATTATGAAAACCACAGAATATAACAACAAGATGAAGAAATTACTGGAAGAAGGACCGTATAAAATCATTAAAAAAAATCCACTAAACCGAATAATCAAACTAGTTAATGATGAAACAAAGAAAGCAATACTATATGAAAAAAAACGAAAACAACTACTAGTGACAGTTCCAAGATTACCAAGAACATACGGAGTCCCAAAAATACACATGAATGATGTGCCGCTTAGACCTTTAGTCAGTGCCATAAACTCGCCTACATGTAACTTAGAAGGTTACTTAGCAAGAATTCTAAAAACTAACACTGGAAAATCGTCTTCTTATGTGAAAAATTCGACGGACTTTGTGGAAAAACTACAACAAGCAAACTGGGAAGAACGAGACATTCTCGTCAGCTTCGATGTTGTTTCGTTATTTAAGAGGGTGCCAGTGAGGAACACACTGAATATTATAAAAGTGAAAGAATAGATAGATGAAAAATTACAAGGCTTATTAGAAATATACACCATAACAACAGTTTTCACATACCAAGACACCATCTACGAACAAACTGATGGAATGGAAATGGGATCAAGACTAGCACCAGTATTTGCCAACATATTCATGGAATGGTATGAAGCGGAAGCAATGAGCACGTATACTCAAAAACCCAAAATGTGGTTGCGATATGTAGATGACACATTCGTTTTATGGCAACACGGCGTGGACAAACTACAATCTTTCCTGCAACACTTAAACAGCATACACGCCAACATACAGTTCACAATGGAAACTGAGGAAAACGGAAAATTTCCATTCCTGGATGTAATGTTAAAAAAACAGTCTAATGGGAAATTTGGCACAGGAGTGTATAGAAAAAGTACACATACAGATAAATATTTACATGCCGATTCACACCATTGCCCCTCACAAAAAATGGTATTATTACACACAATGGCAACAAGATCTGTCAGAATAGCTGATGAAGACCATGTGGATGAATGAGGAAAAAACATACTTACGACAAGCACTAAATAATAATGGGTACACAATTAAAACATTACTAAGGCAATTAAAAAAGAAGTGAAAAGAAAAAATGCAACGCGTATCATAGATGACGAAAACAATAAAGATGAAAAGAAAGGAACTGCCGTACATGCACATAATTACCGACCACATATCAAGGATCGCGCAAAAATTCAAATTAAGAACCGTCTTCAAACCAAACACAGTTGCAGGATCACTACTTCAAAACCCGAAACTGCCCGAGATGCAAACACCTGGAGTATATGAAATACCGTGTTCATGTGGTAAATCTTACATTGGACAATCAGGAAGAGCTATTGCGACAAGAATAAAAGAACATGAAAAAGACGTGGAGTACCAAAGAACAGAAAAATCTGCTGTAGCTGAACATGCCAAAAACAGAGGACATGACATACAATTCAATAAAGTAAAAATACTAAACAAAGAAACTCATTTTGGCAAACGGATGTACAAGGAATCAATAGAAATCGAAAAATGCCCGGAAAATTTTAACAGAGAAGATGAATGGAAAATCAGCAAAACTTGGTTACCTATCATACACCAGACAAAAAGGAACTCAACCAACAACACCGAAAATAATTCTTTTCCAAAATTATGGTTGAAAATGTAAAGCATATTTTACTTGGTTAAAGAAATTATCAATAATTACCATATATCTTTTATATGTATACATATATATTTCCAATAACATTATCACTAAATGTATAAAAAAATTTGCACTATTTTTAAAATGTGCGCAACAAGTTATTAGTTTAATCCAATATTAAGTTTAATTTACGAAAAAAATTTGGTAATACATTGTTTATATTAGAATATTTTTATGCTAAAAATATTTTAATTATCGTTAACAATAGTAAATTTTTTTATTTTTCAAGTTATTATAAATTACTCTTTACATGTATTTAGATGAGTATGCAGAATCTCCCGAAATAGCTACAGCAGCTGAATTTTTAGATATATCCATATATATTTACACTTTATATCCTCTGATGGGATGGCACTTTATTAGCAAAAATGGAATTGTTAACAAAGACGAGAATGAAAGATGCTTATACTTGCTTAATGATAGAGAACATTATGATGTTGTGATAGATGTAGTAAGTAAATTAATTATTAATATTATTTGGTAGAAAATGATTTAGTTAAGAAAATTACTGATCGATAACAACTTTGGGCCAATATTTCGAAAATTATTCTCATTTTTATACCTAGGCGGAAGGAAGAATACAGCCGGGAAATAATTAGTGATAAAAAAAACAACATCCTTGTCTTTAAAATTATAACTTTTAAAATATTGTTCCAAAAATTTTTTCTGCCATTTTCCGGCAGTTTTTTGATTTAGATCTTTATCTATCAAACTAGTTAGTTAATTAAATGTCTCCATTTGAAAAATTTAACTTTATACTCTTATTAAGCATAAGAAATTAACATAAAATATATTCTAATTATGAAATTGTAAAAAACATTAAATTAAAAGAAATCAATAAAAAAAGTCCAGTCTGATTAAGGTACCTCCGCTTTCTAGCTAGAGTACAAAGTCTATCTACTAAAGAGCGATTAAACACCGTTTACTGATGGTATACACTCTATTTGGTTACTGACGTCTTACTTGAATTCACGAATATTGAAAACGTATGAACTTTCTTTTACGTGTTTGTATAATCCTATAGTACCAATTTATAGACATTAGGATTTATCCGTTTTAAAGTGTAAAATTTACCTATAGACAAGAAGGCGATAGCAAATAGATGAAAGAATACGTAGAAGAGCTATATGGAGAAGAAGAAAACACCAACGGTGAATTTTACTCAAATGTAAATATATAAATTCTAAAACCACATTTTAAAGATGCATTTCAAACAATAAGGAAAAACAACGTACTCCTATAAAAGACAGGAGATGAAATAAAGAATTCTCTGTACAAATTGTTAATTCAAATATATGAGACTGAATACTCAGAGAGATTTTAAATATAGTAGATTAGTTATCCTACCAAAAAAATCCAGAGCCAATCGGCGCTGAAATTTTAGGATATCAAGGAAATAAATAAATAATCTTAGAAAAAGTAATGTTATTATTGGATACGATGTAATCTATAATAGTGGCGAGGTGTAAAGAGGTGTAAGAGTGCAAGGATTAGTTTGAATCACCTGATTCGTTTGATCGATTGATTGATTAATTGGATAATTTTAATAATAGGAGATCTTTAAAACGTTTGTACTATTAAAGTATAAAAGTTACGATATAACTGCAGAAACATTTTAATATGATCAAAGACGATACTATCGTTGTAAGAGTTTAAGAAAATAATTTCCACCATCATTGCTGGTACAGACGGGTCAGTGTCAGAGCTCGCTGAGCGTGTTGATCGCGTCATGGACGTCAGTGGTGACAAGGAGATACATGATGTATCCACAGGCTCTATGGATAACAGACACTTCGCTCTAGAGAACGCAGTTTTGACGTTAATCACATGAATTGCTAGTATGAGCGTTACGTCGTCTAGTCAAAAACAGGATGATCACTTCAGGGAAAGGAACCGTTAAAAATTTCGAACATGACCCCGGTCATGTTCACGACCATGTCAAAATGATTTATGTTTTTAGGCGATTTTATGACAAAGCACAAAATTGTGTTTCACTTTGCTCATTTAAATCAGAAAACTGAAACGCGTGGCGATGGCGTTTCTGATGCCCCTTCCACGGAACCAGGGCGACGTGTTTTTGTTGCTGACATACGAACAAATCGACTCTTTCATGTCGACACCGGCGCCAAGATTTCAGTCAAACCACCGATCGGTGCACCACACGCTAATTCGAACATCATCCTCACAGCGACAAACGGCACTCGCATCGTACATGTGGAAAAAAAACACTTCGTTTGGATTTTGGTTTTCCTCGTACGTTTGTATGGGATTTTGAAATGGCCGATATGTCGTGGCTCATCATCGGTGCAAATTTTTTGCATTATTTTGGCTTATTAGTTGACATTAAACTGAATCGGCTTTTTGATTCTACACATCGCACGGGCAGTGTTACTACATAAGCGAAAGGTGATTTTATATCAACCCTACAAGTACAGTGGTCGCAGCAGTGGTCTAGCATTATCAAAGACTACCTCAACGTCACACGTAATTCACGGGCGCCCAGTAGTTTTGCACACAATGTTGTTCATGAACTCGTCACCACCGGTCCGCCGCTGTTCTATCGTCCCCGTTGTCTGCCTTCAGGCCAGGCCAAAGTCGCTCAAAATTAATTTGATTATATGCTAGAGAATGACATTTGTAGACAGTCGGCGAGTGTGTGGGCCAGTCCTTTATAATTAGTTCCCAAGAAGGATGGAACTTTTCACCCATGCGGTGATTATAAGCGTCTCAATATGTTGACGCGTGCAGATCGTTACCCACTGCCGAACCTTCATGACTTCACTGCCTATCTTAAAGGAAAAATAGTCTTGACTAAAATGGATCTTATCAGGGCGTACAATCAGATGCCCATCGATGAATAGGCTATACTAAAAATGGTCGTTATAACACCCTTTGGTCTATTTGAGTTCCCAGTGATGACGTTCGAACTCCAAAACGCAGCTCAAACTTTTCAACACGTGGTAAACGATATGTTAAGCGGACTGGATTATGCTTTCGCTTACATCGACGACATCTAGATCACATCACGCAATCAAGAGGAACTTGTCCTCCACGTACGTATTGTTTGCAACCATCAGAGAATGGCCCAACGGTTTATCGGTTCGTTTAATTTTTATCACCACTTCATCAATAATGCAGCGACACTTCAAGTCACATTGTATGATTTAGTGTCAAAAGTAACGAAAAGGGATCGACATCTACAATGGACAGACAGCACACGCGCCGCTTTCAACACCTACAGTGCAGCGCTCGCCGCTACTACTCAGTTGGCGCACCCTAAAATAGATGTTCATCTACGGCTCTGCACGGACGCCAGTAACATTGCTGTAGGTGGTGTACTTGAACAAAAATATGACGGCCAATGGATGCCACTAGGCTTTTTTCCCATAAACTTGATTTCGCGTTTCGGGATACCTGATCTTATAACGACGGATCAGGGACGACAATTCAAATCAGAACTTTTTGGGGCGTTAGCAAATACGTTTGGATTACGTACATCACCTTACAACCCTAAGTCAAACGGTATGGTTGAAAGATTCCATCGTACGCTGAAAGCCGCTCTTACAGCACACGGGTCAACCAGCTGGAGCGAGAAATTACCTGTCATGTTGCTCGCGTTAAGATGTACAGTGATAGAGGAAATCAACGCGGCCCCGGTAGATTTAGTGTACGGTATGTCACTACTTCTTCCAGGCGAACTTTTTTACCAAGTACCTGCAACAATTCGCCATCCGGATCTAGTCGGTAAGCTAAAACAAGCTATGTTTGAGTTGCGGCCGACGGCGAGAACTAACCACGATACGCACCGCGCCGTTTTTGTGCCTACGTCATTGGAACAGGTCAGCCACGTTTTCATTCGTATCGACGCTGATCAAATGCACCTACAGCCTAAATAAGAAGGACCTTTCGTGGTTTTGGAACCCAGAGATAAAGTGTTCAAAGTACAACGTGCAAATACAACTCAATGGATATCAGTTGATCGCTTGATGCCTGCTTTTGTGATGCGTAAGGATTTGTTGTTAAATCATACATACACCGCTCAAACAGTAAAAGTGCTACCAAAAAAACGAGTTCGTTTTTTGTTTATGTGGGGGAGTACTGTGGCTTACCCCAGACACGACCTTATCTAGTCAGTCACTGTTACCGTTTTTATGTCGCGTGAGTTGTTATCGTTTGTAAATTTATATGTTATGTAATCGTCCCTATTCGTGTATCTTAGTGATGGTAGATTTTAATTTAACCGTCCGTAGTTAGTTGACGTTACGATCTCGCACCTGTCATATTATTATTACGTTGTTCTTTTGTTATTTCTTTTTACCGACGGCTTAGCCTCGTGCACATTGTATTATTATTTATAATAATTTCTTGATTATTCTTCTTTTTTTAAAAATAAATTACTCTAACCTTCGGCGTTAAAGCCATTGTAATTCGTGTTACTTAATTTAATCTTTTTAGTGCAACATCTAAAACTAAATTTTTAGTTGTTAAATTGATCACCATACCTCTAAAAACTTAATCATTCATAGAGTACGATAATATCGTATTATTATTATTGGTTTTTAATAATAAATATGATAATAAAATTCAAATTAGCCAATTTTAAGCACTTTTCTTGCAATAATGAATAACAGGTCGACAACAATTTTAGGACGAATAATTATTGAGTTACAAACACTTAATACATAAAATGGGTAGATTATGCATTATTAATATACATCATTACAAGATATAACCATTTATATACCGGCTTGTTGGGTGGTTGCATATAGAATTAAATTAATATTAAATTAATTTATAAAATAATCGCTGAATTGGTTATTATTAACATCTATTGCGGCTTAAACGGATTCGAACACTAGATCACGACACGTTGATTAGTGTTGACAAAATGTCGCACAGTATTTCAGAAAGTTTTTATAAGAGGACAAAATTATATTTTTCGATATCATTAATTAAACATAAAACTGCATTTAATCAGTTGATAATTTTACGAGTGTACGGAATACCAAATGGTTCATGAAAAGTTTAGAAACAAGTTATATTATTCAAGTCTATATTGTAATATAATGTTTCATATTAATTGCGAATAAATTTTTATTTTTTAAATTTTGTTCAAAATATTGTTCAAAATATATTGGTGGTTATGCATATTGCCATGTATTTATTTATTTATTTTTTATATTTATACCATTGTCACCGTTTTATATATTTGTTATCAGTATTCATTGTGTTGTTATTCAAATTCTTTTATACTTTATATTGTTGTTATTATCTGTTATGAGTTGTCCACCCATGCCATCAAGCTCTGTAGTTCTCTGTACCTTCCATGGATCAACTATCTCAGCTTCAATTGTAAGACTTGGTCGTCTTCCAAGGGGGAGAATGTTCAAAAGTTATGTGTGTAGCCGGTAAAGTTACACATAGCTCGAATTGGCATTACCCCTCTCAATGTAATGACAACAATCGTGTCCGGCACTACCGGCACCTTGCGGGCACTACGTCGGTGTACGCGATTGAAGTCGTACCGCATCTTTTGGGTCTGATGACTCGTGGCCAGTGAGCTGGCGTGTTTTTAATTTTATTCTATTGTTTTTTGGTTGGTATTGGCCTGTTTAGGTGACAACCAACACTTTATATTACCCGTTACGTGCTATTACGCGAGTGCTCGACGGAAATAGAGCAGCGCAGGTTGACATTCCATACGCNGACGGAAATAGAGCAGCGCACGTTGACATTCCATACGCAAAAGGAACAATTAATTGGGAAGCGTTTTGGCAGTCAATTCAACGTTAATTGCACTATGGATGGCTGATGGCTGGGTGATGTTTCGTTTTTGTTTGTTTTTTTTTACTATTATTATTCTAATGTTAATATATTGATATATTGAATATTTATTAGTTTGTATATATATATAATAAAATTACTGGTTGGAATTGATATTATACGATTGTCAAGTAAAACCCCCCGATCCGTCATCTATGTTAAGATAATTAACTTAACGTTAAAAGTATAAAGTCGTGAAATAATTTACTCTGGGAATTGTACAGTTTCATATCAATATATTTTTACATATTTTTTTTATAGTTTTACTAATTTTAAATACATGTAATGTATTTTTTACTATGATAGAGTCAAGGTTTAAATGCGTCTATTTTTAAATGAAAAATAACATAGTGATTGATATTAATGACGATATATAGTTACAATTAATATATAAAAAATGCCGCAAAAATATCACTATGATTTACTTGTGAAAGTTGAAATATAAGTCTCCATGAGGAAGTCGAAAGTGTTAATATTGCGTCGCAGGACCGGTTCGTGTCACCCGCAGTCACTCGGTGTCACGTGACCTGTCAAACAAGGAGACTAGCTAGGTACTAAGGTAGCTGTGTCGCAATCACCATTCAGTGGTAAAGCTGGAAGTGTGCTGTGACCGTGTCAACTAAATATTTATTTATGCATTTTTATTTTATATATACATTAGGGTGGCTCTCAAAAATCGAATGTCTTTTTTTTTTTTACGCTACCTCTTAATTTTTTTTTTTTAATGGTTAAAAAAATGAGCTGTGTAAAATTTGGGACCGATCCGTTAAGGTTAACCCGTGCCCCCGGGCCTATTAAGTTGAGTCGAAGAGTCAAATTTAATAGAAATAACTGATCTATGTCTTATAACTTTTTTTTCTCTTAACTTAGAATAATAAAAGTAAAACTCAAGTAAAGGAAATTTTACAAGAAATTCAAAAATAATAACTTCAATGTTGTTTTCTCAATAAATAGCCCACAAAAACACTACATACAGTAAAAAACATGTAAAAGTCTTAAAATACGTTATAACTGATTTTGTTGATTTTTAATTATTTATTTTCATTTTATTTTTTGGAAAACGCATATTCGTATTAAAAAAGATTCTAGAAGTTTAATTTTTTATGCCAAGTACAATAATTATATTAGATTTATTATTTTATGGACAGTTAATTAATGATTAATTACAAATTTAACAAAATTGATTGTATTATTACATTTTGTCGTATCAATATATCAATTTTGGTTTACTGAATTACTTTAAGATAGTACCAATTATATTATTATTAAAGATAAGAATATTTGAGTTATTTTCGACAACTGACATAATTTGTGTCGTATAAATGCAGCAGACAATTTGTGAACACGTTAAATATATTTTACATGTTTATTATTATATATTAAATGATACGTTTTCATCACAAATGTACAATACTTTTAGCGTCTTTTAAAGTATTGTGAACTAATATTTATCTTATTGATAATTATTCCCACGAAATAACTGGTAGTAAGTTACCATCAAATTTACAACTATTTAATCTGAACACTGATTTTTTGAAAATTGATCCATCATTTTGGAGTGCGAACAACAGTTACATAAATGCTTTAAATACTATAAGTAAATTACGAGTCATTAATGATACAGCCTAGCGTGGCATTAAATTAATCTAAGACTACATTAATATATTAACTACAAATGAAGAACAGAAACAATACGTTTTACAAATAGTAAGTAATTANTAATACGTTTTACAAATAGTAAGTAATGATCGGAAAAAATTTCCTAATTGTAAAAAAAGTACATTATCAAAAAATATATTATAATAATATAATTCAATTATTGTTAAAATATTTTTTTTTAAGTTATTATTATTTAAAGAAAAATAAATTAAAAATTATTAATAACAATTAAATTAAACTGTTAGGTTTGTAATTAATCATTAATTAACTGTCCATAAAATAATAAATCTAATATAATTATCGTACTTGGCATAAAAAATTAAACTTCTAGAATCTTTTTTTAAACGAATATGCGTTTTCCAAAAAATAAAATGAAAATAAATAATTAAAAATCAACAAAATCAGTTATAACGTATTTTAAGACTTTTACATGTTTTTTANATCTAATATAATTATTGTACTTGGCATAAAAAATTAAACTTCTAGAATCTTTTTTTATACGAATATGCGTTTTCCAAATAATAAAATGAATATAAATAAGTAAAAATAAACAAAATCAGTTATAATGTATGTTTAAGACTTTTAAATGTTTTTTACTGTATGTAATATTTTTGTGGGCTATTTATTAAGAAATAACATTAAAGTTATTATTTTTGAATTTCTTGTGAAATTTCCTTTATTTGAATTTTACTTACATAAATCTAAGTTAAGAAAAAAAATAGGTATGAAAAATAGATCACTTATTTCTATTAAATTGGCCTCTTTAACTCAACTTAATAGGCCCANTAGATCAGTTATTTCTATTAAATTTGACTCTTCGACTCAACTTAATAGGCCCGGGGGCACGGGTTAACCTTAACGGATCGGTCCCAAATTTTGCACAGCTCATTTTTTTGACCATTAAAAAAAATTAAGGGGTAGCGTAAAAAAAAAAAGACATTCGATTTTTGAGGGCCACCCTAATATACATATACACACTGATTTCCAAAACAAAATGTTGAACTTCATTAATGATGGTACCAAACCTTTGGGCTTAAAATTGAAAATGAATATTTTTAAAATCGTACACATTTTTTTTATGTTCATGAATGACTGATAAATATAACCATCAAAATTTATTTTCCTTTACAGTTTCCAAATAGAAAAGCTCGTCAGCCTGAAGATATTTTAGTAAATATATGATAAATAATATATTTTATACAATTAGATAGAGATTTAATAAAAATAATGTAGAACACTCGAAATTCAGTTTAAAAAATATTCTTTTTGAGTTTGAACGTAGCCTACAATTTCATTATTCTGAAAAAAAATATTTAAAAAAAAAAATAATATAATATATAATAATATATCAATCATAACAATAAAACTATAATGATCAAGAATGTCCTTTTTTTGCAAAACAAAAACAAAATAATAATGGGCCAGAATTTATATGAATTATCATGTATATTTAAATTATTCATCAATATTATAAAAATAATATATGTAGTGTACATTTTTTGTTTGTTTTTTGATAGCTTAATAAATTAACTAATATTTTCAGAGAAAAATGAACGAGTATTCTGATTACAATATTCCTATAGTAAGTGTAAAATTAGACCACGTGCATTGTTTATTTTTTGAAAAACTGTTTAAAATTAATATTATAAGCACATTAAATGAAATTATGTACTCATTTCAAAATACTATTAAAATTTTAGTACTTCAGATTTATAATAAAAGTAATTAAAATGTATTTCAGGACTTTTCAAATCAATCTATTAGTAAATCTAAAACCAATTCGTCAGTAAGTATATTTGAACAGCACACCAAATGAAAACTTGTTGCATTAGTACTTGTTTTCATTTGATGTGTCGTTTTATGGTATCATAATACTCAAACATCTCAAATTTACTTTTTTTTAAAACTGTTAAAAAAATGAGGTTGTCTTTGAAAATAAAAATGCATTTATTAATTTAAAAATGTAATCGAAGGACAAGGCGTGGTTATAACTATTTATATTACTAAACCGCACTTTTCCTCGCGTCAATACGTAACAATGTTTATAAAAACTTCCAAAATACTGGTAAAAAGTTTTTAACGGACAATCATTTTTTAATCCAATAAAAGTTTAAAAGAAACTTAAAAGTATTTAAAAGTAGATGTATATACAGAGGTGGATGTAAGTTTATTTAGACTAACAGACTAACAGTCTGATATTATCGACGCGTTCATTGAAATCAATATTATTAATGAGTACGATAAAATCAACTGGCTCATTGATAATAAGATAAAAAAGTTGTTGACATTAGTTCTATTGTAGCATTTACAACGATGACTAAATGCTGTGAAAACAATATCCCACAATCTGCGCCGTCTGTTAACTTGCTGTCCATCAGTCTACATAAATTCGATGGTTGTATACATCAATGGAGGACGTTTAGAGACATCTTCTTAAAGCAAGTTTCCGATAATGTTTTTATTTGCACCAACATTGAGCGATAAAGTCATTGAAAATCATATTTGTTAGGCTCAAGACTTTCTGTAATAAGACTAATTCCACTTATTAGTGCTACTAACAAATTACATGTACTAGATGTAATAATAATTATTGTAGTATATATATATATAGTGTGTTCAGTAAGAAAGGAAAAGGATTTCTATAGTTTTCATTATTTGTAACGATTGATTTGTTTCTTTACATTTAGCACTTTAGTTTTAATTGTCTACTTATTTTTTAGACAAAAGAAACAAAACAAAACAAAACTCCTCAACCTGTTCCTCAAGTATGTACGAAATTTCATTTTACTGCAAAATATATATATATTAGTGGCCCCTAGCAATAAATTAAGAATTAATTTTTCTTTTATTCTAACTAACTCCTCCCTTCCTCCTACATTTTTGGAATATAAAATAATTAAGTTTTAAAAAAGTTGGCCACAATTGATTAAGAAATTGAAGAGAGTTAAAAATCGGACGCCGAGGGTAGATTTTTAGTTTTTTTTTTAATTTATTTTTCTTAGGATTCATCAATGTTGACCAAATTTTGTAAATTTCATTTTATTTATATTCCAACAATTTAGGAACAATTTAGTGAGATGGTTAAACTCAATATTTTATGATTAAAGGTCACTTTTGTGAGCAATATTATTATTAGGCTCATCAGATAATTATAAATCGTGTTAACTTGGGGTAGTTTTTTAGTTTTTAGTAATTAACTCGTAAATTATCGCTCTCACAAAAAAAAAAATTGAAACTAAATTGTTTTGTATGAATGCAGTTCTTACAGTTTTTCATCTAACTTCATAGTTTTCCAAGAAAATTTTATAATACGTAATATTTTGTAAAATTGTCGAAATTTGGCATATTTACGGATATTTTTTCATATCTGATGAACTATATGTAATTTCAAACAAAAATTATTTAAAATTAAATATTACAAAATAAAACTAACGATCGTTTTAATAATTATATACTGCTCGTGGACAAAAAAGAAAATACAATATTTTCTAAAAAAAAAATCAATTACTCATTCAAAGATAGATATAAAAATTATTGTATTAAATTTTTTTTAATAAATGTAAGCAATTATTATTCCGCTCAACCAACGAGGGCGGTTCATGGCTCTAGGAGGGTGTATTATTATTATTTTNACCCTCCTAGAGCCATTATTATTATTTTATCGGAGTCACCATTTAAAAAAAAATGAACAAATAAAAAAACACATCATAGTAAAATTAATACCTTCTCAGCTTTGCATCGAAACTAAAATTATAGATTACTCTAGCAATTCTTAATAATCGTCTCTAAAATATCCGATTTGCAACATTTCAGATTACAGTAGTATCGCAGCATAACGTTTTTTCTTCTAACTTCAATAGTTTTCCGGGAAAATTACAAAATTCCCAAAGTATGACATATTTACGAATATTTCTTCATATCTGATGAACCGTATGTGATACAACCAGATATTTCATACAAAAAAAAAAAACTACTGCATCTAATATAGAACGTTTAAAAGGTTTGTGTCCATTTTTGCATTACTAAAATTTTTAGAGAAACTAGAGCGAAAATTAGATAAATATTTATTGTTATTACCTACGCTACCACATCTATGAACTGATTTTACCAGGTGTTTTCGAAATAAAACTATCTCAAGAACATCATGATATTCCCATGTTTAAATCTTAATAAAAAATTGGAATAACATTGATATTTCTAATATAACCTGTGGAATAAATTATGTCTAATATTCTTCTGCGCTAGAAAATGTTCAAAATGATATTCTTTAGTTTTCTCGGGAAATGTTGCAAATCGGATATTTTAGAGACGATTATTAAGAATTGCTAGAGTAATCTATAATTTTAGTTTCGATGCGAAGCTGAGAAGGTATTAATTTTACTATGATGTGTTTTTTTATTTGTCCATTTTTCTTTTAAATGGTGACTCCGATAAAATAATAATAATACACCCTCCTAGAGCCATGAACCGCCCTCGTTGGTTGAGCGGAATAATAATTGCTTACATTTATTAAAAAAAAATTTAATACAATAATTTTTATATCTATCTTTGAATGAGTAATTGATTTTTTTTTTAGAAAAAATTGTATTTTCTTTTTTGTCCACGAGCAGTATATAATTATTAAAACGATCGTTAGTTTTATTTTGTAATATTTAATTTTAAATAATTTTTGTTTGAAATTACATATAGTTCATCAGATATGAAAAAATATCCGTAAATATGCCAAATTTCGACAATTTTACAAAATATTACGTATTATAAAATTTTCTTGGAAAACTATGAAGTTAGATGAAAAACTGTAAGAACTGCATTCATACAAAACAATTTAGTTTCAATTTTTTTTTTTGTGAGAGCGATAATTTACGAGTTAATTACTAATAATTAAATAACTATTCATTTTGGTCAATATTAAAATTCCAGTCGGCACCAGTTATAATTGTCTCATAAGCCTAAAATTTTTTGTAGTCTCTTTTTAAATGTATACATACAAAAAGTGGCTACAAAAAATTTGTGGGGAGATTCCAAAGAATTTTCAAAGTTTTAAAAACGAAGAACATATTAGTATACATTTTAAGTATCTCTATCTTTAAGTCAAGGTAAAGAGTTTTTATTCATACCATTTCTTTTAATTAGTTGATTTTATTTTTAATGACAAGGATAGATCTAAATAGCTATATTATGAATAATTATTGAGATTTAATAGTTTAACTTATAAAATCTTGGTTTAATTGTATAGACAACTAAAGATAATCAGAAGCTTCAAAACTACACCAACGAAGATTTTGAAGTAATTTTTTGTGTCTTAATAATAATTTTTATAAGTATACTCGCATGAGAAACAAAAATAGTAATGGTAATGCACAATTTTATTAATCACGCAATATATTGTGGGACTAATAAAAAATTATGACTTATAAAGCTATGGCAATATAAAAATTTATAATATAAGGGTTAGATCAGAATAAATTTGAATAGAGTAATTATATATTTGTTAAGATTTTCAGTATAAAATATGTTTTTAAATGTAATGTGAAAATACATTTTATAGTGCTAATTAATACACTTGAAATACTTTCTCTAGAATTACATAAAACAAGTAAAAAACAGAATACGTACTGAAGAAATAGAACAGGTAACTTTTTTTTATAGTATATTTTAGTTTGTTGAACAAATTTTTAAATTTAATTTTATTGTAAGAAATTTAGATAAATAAAAAAATTATTGAACTTGAAAATCTAATTTAAAATATGATATATTTAGTTTTAACTAATTTTATATAAATGCTTAATGCAAAAAACCAAATGTATAATGTTGGATGGATAAATAATTTGATCCACCTCCAAAACAAACTTTATATTACTGTTTAAATTAAATATTACCATCAGGTTAAATCATACAATATTTTTATGTAATTTAGCCATCTTTACTAATATAGTGTACTAACATTAATTTTTAGCAACGTTTAGATAAACTGAATGGTAACAGCTATGAGGAAATATCAAAAGTAAATATACGTTAATTATAATAAGTATCTTAGATCAGTAAATAAGGTTTCAGCCAACCAGAGAGCCTACTATTTACCCACTACCCAGGGAAACACTGGACAGTGACCTAGTAGCCAAGCCAAACAAGACTAGTTCTCGTTGACGGTTGAAACGTTTCTACGTTTGTTCTCTTTAAATATGAAAAATATAACACAAATTTTCGACTAATCGATTTGTTCTGATTTATTTTTATATAAAGATGAATATATACATATATTAACAAACTAACTACTATATCAGTCTTATTTTAGAAACTATTTAATTTGGGGTGAAGTAGAAGTATAACCCTCTGGATCACGGTTGGTAACGAGTAGTTACAAACACCGTTGCAAAAGGTTAAAGGGATTTTTACAAAAAGACAGTTATCTCGATCACGGCTGATAACACGGAGGTTATGATCACCGTTGAAGATGAACTGTATTGTATAAGTGGTGGAATCTAACCCTTTGGATCACGGTTGGTAAAACGTTTATTACGAGCACCGTTGCAAAGGATTAAAGAGGAATATTTAGGAAAAACTAGCAATCTTGATCACGGTTGATAACACGATGGTTATAATCACCGTTGAAGATTATGACTAGCCTTTAAAGAAAAGAATATATAATTTTGATCACGGTTGGTAATGTTTAATTACGAACACCGTTGAAAATTATATATGTAATAAGGAAAAAATAAAGAAAACTTACTCGATGGAAAAAAATGAAATGATGAATTATTATATGAAGACTAGTTGGCAATGACCACTGCAAACACTAGTAAAACGAAGAACTAATAAAACTATTAATATTTTTAGAGAAAATAATTATACAAGTAGTGACGGTGCACTTTATGCTACCCGTCACCACCGGAGTAGTGTAGAACACAATTGCCCACATATTATTTATTTTTAAAAAACCCTCCAAAAACAAAAAAATATTCTAATTTCCTATTTTCGAGTTCTCGTTAAGACTGGTATATAAAATAATCATTACAATAAATAATAAAAAAAAATAATAAATAAATACTTTAATTTACATATTTGAATAAGGGTTGTCAAACAGCGCTGTCCAGCGGACTTTCTTGCAACTGTCAACCAATGATAGAGCCGTAGCGTAACGCTACACGGTGCTTTTAGGTTTTGATTTAAAAAAAAGAATACAAATGTTAATAAAAATGAGGGAGAAGTATGAAGAAAAAAAAATCTTAGACCATGTATAATATAATAATATTAGTTTTTAAATTATTTTAAATTTATACGTGTATCATTTAAATATAATTATATATATATATATATATATATATATAGAGGGTGATTTTTTTATCATAACGCACTCAATTACTTACAGAATAATAATAATTTAAANTAACTTAAAAAGTATGACATAGTTAATAATTCAAGAATAATGTGTAACTAAAGATAATAATAAAAAAATTTTTTAAATTATTATTATTCTGTAACTAATTGAGTGGGTTATGATAAAAAAAACCCTGTATGTATATATTTATAAAAGAAAACAGAGAAGGGAGAAGAGAAAAAAAAAAAGAAGGTGCTATATAGACAACATTATTTAGGGGTTCAAAAGGGGGTTTTATGTAATACTTATTGTGTTGATTAACTTCTTGAGGAGTGTCGGCCTACCACTGGCCATAATTCGTGCCTCACACCATCTCGATGTTTATTAAAAAAAAAAAAAGGAGAAAAATAAATGTAGCAAAAAAATAACGTTTGGTTTTGAAAAGTGGCAAAAAACAATAAAAAAATGGCACGTCCATACAACTTGGTAGTATAACTGAGAGAAAAAAATCAACATGGCATTGTGTAGTGGCCTATGGCAATGACGCCGGGTGGTGGCGGTACCAACTTTGAACTGGTTCATAGGGAGTTACATAAATGTAAGGGATGCACTGTATGCGGTTATCTGTCACAAGAAACCGGATATTGACCATTGGATCGGTTGACTGGTATATAAAATAATTTAATAATTAGGGACATACTTAATACCTATTGTACACACTTCTGATAAGATTTATTTAAAAAAAAAAAACTAGTATAAATTCTGCAACATTAAAAATATTAAGGGAATACTGGGACACTTACCCAAGATTTTTCAAAATAAAAGTGATATTAAATGGATAATAAAATAGATCATTCGACATTTTAGTTTCGATGAGAAGCTGATAAGGTTTACCATGATCTGTTTATTTTATAATTTTTTTTTTTTTGTGGGACTCACTACTATTTCTCAGCTCTCACTCAACCGCTTTTTCACAAATCGTATCTAGTTGAAGACATTACCCTCAAAATTTCAATTTATTTCTTTCTTTCTCCGTGAATAATGGAATTTCACCAAAACAATTGTTAAAATTATGAAAATTTTTATATATTTTTCTTTTTTCCTTAAAATTAACATAACTTTTTGATAAATAAACGAGACAAAAAATATTTTTTTATATTGAAACTTAAGAAGTTTTCCTTTTATTTGATAGTTTTTTTTAAATTCTAACCCCAACCCTGTCCACAGGGGGAAATTCAAAATAGTAACTTTTATATAAAACCTAACTTTTCAACTTCATTCTTGAAAATGTTCCAGAAATACTGTGTCCATTAAACATATATTAAAGTAAAGCTTCTGTTACGTACTATAAATTAAGAAAGAATTCGTCCCGACATCTTATCTTCTATGTGCAAATAGCAGTCGAAGTAGACCAAAAAATAGGAGTTAATTTAGCTTTTGGAGTAATCCACCAATTTCTTAAACACTATTTACTGGTTTGCATTGAAGTATTTTCTTATGATAGTGATTTTAATCACTGTCAGATATCATTTATACTTGGTCTTACTTTGCAACATTCCTACTGTGCTATCTTTTTTTTTTTTTTGATAGGGTTTGGGTTTTCTAGTTATAATTTGCTAAAAGTCTTAAAAATTAAAACTCTGATCCACTATATAACCTTAAATAAAACTTACAAATATATTAAGAAAAAGTTAAACACGTAATATGAAATTTGTTGACACAAGTTTTTTTAATGGAAATCTAAGTTTTTCAACGCTAGCAACATAATTTTCTTAAAAAAATTATTTTTGGTATTTTTTAGTTTCAATTAATTCTTGATATATCTATAATCAATTACTGTTTTAATTCATTCTATAAACCAAAAAATGTATACAATGACATATTAATGTACATATTAATATTGCTTATGAGTAGAGGTCGGATTTATATTCTCTTAAAATCCTTAAAATATGATGTTTTTATGTCACATTAAATAGGCAATATATTCTCTTAATATTCTTTTAAAATACCAAATATATGATGTTTTATGTCCTTAAGTAAGCAAAATATTCTTTGAATATTAAAAAAAAATTCAATTTCAATTTATTTTTTATTAATTTGGTTTTAAATATATTTAATATAATTAATTTTACAATAACAATTAATAACTATATATTTTTCAATGTGCTCCGGTGTCATTTTAGTACGCCGGTTTGTAAGAATATTTTTGTAGATGCTGAAAGATCGTTCGACATCAACCGATGTTACTGGAGAATATTGCAAGTCGGCTACCATAATCGGTGAATAATTTTCCGGAAGTTGTACTGTGTTATTTCCACTAAGAACTTGTCCAATATTTTTTAAAAATTTGTATCCTTTGTTTTTTTGTTGAAGTTGCAATATTTTTGTTTTTACTACTTCTCCTTTTTCTCCTGGTATCTGTTCAAGTTGTGTAAAAGTGTTTTCAATAATATTTATTATATCAACCAAGGGAGTATTTGATTTTTCCAAACTTTTGATAGTTGTAACAATTTGAAGAAAATTAGTTTTAATAAAAATCAAATCATTTTTCACAGACTGTAGGTGTAATATATTTTTGCATTTTTGAATACTGACTGACGACTTTTCTTCACTTAATTTGTCTATAACCTTTTTCAAACACTCAAAATTATCGCAATTAAATACTGCGGCTTCCAGCCAAGTTCCCCATCTAGTTAAAACGGGTTCTGGGGGTAATGGCACATTGGGCAATATTTCTTTGTACACCTGGACATGATATGGCGCTTTTAAAAATACTTTTTTTAGATTACTGATTAATTTATTAACATTTGGAAACATTTCTCTGACCTTCTCTGCAACCCTGTTCATCATGTGAGCTACACACGTAACGTGAATTAAATTTGGGTAGAAAACTTTTAGTGTATCACCGGTTTTTGTCATGTATGGAGCTGCATCCGATAACATTACCAACACTTTTTCGTCATTTCCACCCAACGGCCATAATAATTTTAGTCCATCATTGATAAACCGAGCAACAGTGGAATGATTAGTTTTTTCCAAAACTTTGCATGTCAGGAGAAATGGGCGAGTCGGAGTATTTGATTTTAATATTCCCACCAGTAAATTTGCAACGTAACGACCGTTTGTATCTGTAGTTTCATCTACAGCAAACCAAATATTATTTTCACCAATTTCAGTTTTAATTTTCGTTAAAGTATTATGGTAGCATGGCTCGAGATAATTTTTACGTAACGCACTTTCATCTGGTATATGTTTGCCAGTGTATTTCTCTAAAAATGTACGTAATTGAGGAACTTGCATTTTATACCAAGGAATATTAGCTGCTACTAAGGCTAGACACAAGTGTTTGTTAAAATCATTTAAGTTGTTTTCATTGAGAGTAGCTTCTGATAAAAATAATTGTTTTGATGAAGTATTTAATTTACGTTTTAAACCATTTTTATGGACAGCCGTATGTACATGTTGTGTTACCTGTGATTTTTTTGTGCAAGGAATATTTCTGTCACAAACTTGACAAAAAATTGTTGCACCATTTGTCGTGAAAATCGTTTGTTGGTTATTGTACGACGAAATCCACTGAGCAAATAAACTTTTTAAACTGCTTGAAGTTTTTGGCATATTTGTATATTATAGACTATAAAATACAATTACTATAACTTAAGTAATATGAGACGAGTGGAAAGACA